AATTATTCGAATCCTGAATGAAGTGATCATCGGTTCATATTCATTCATTCACATTAAAACCCAGATCTGTCCAGACTGACGACAAACAGATCAACGTGGTGTCTTCAATGGTTCACGCTCCCTGATCTGATCACATGATCCCTCTGTTACCAACACAGGATGAAACAGGATCTTCCAGTTTTCAGGTCACGTGTCACACAACAGTCGAAGAAACTGTTTGTTCATCACGTCTGACTCCAGTGGAAAAATCCCTCTGTCCATTATCGATCTGTTTCCTGTTATCCTCATTATCAGTATTGCTTATCGTCTGGGGGCGGGGCTAGACAGGTCGCTGGCCCATCACAGAGCTAATCAGAGTGATTCAAGATGGAAACAGTTCAACTAGTCTGGTAACGTGTTTGTTTTGACTCAGAAATCAGATCAAAAACAAGACGAGTCTAAATGTGTTCAAGGAATCTGAGAAACCGTGTGGCAGAGGATTATGGGATGTCTGTTCCCAGGTGTGACCACAGAGACGACAGAGTTCAGCTGGTTCACTTCTGTTTCTCTCTCTGCTTTGAAAACACGTTTAAATGATGAATGATGGTGACAATGATCCGACGTGGTCCCTCTCTCCAGCGTCGGTCATGTCTCTGGGCGAGCCCACGCCGGACTCGGCGCCGTTCCTCTCTGACGACAGCGAGACAGAGGGACAGGAGGAGCAGGGCAGGGCGGCGGGCCAGCGACCGCAGGAGGAGTCGGCCAGCGGCGTGTCCAGCGTCCGGGCCGTGCTGACCGTCCTGGTCCTCTGCTACATCAACCTGCTCAACTACATGGACAGGTTCACCGTGGCAGGTACGTTCATGACGGGACTTAATCTTCAGATGTGTCAGGAAACAAATTTAAATAAACAGTTGTTAAAAGATTTAACTCAAAGTTTCAAACAGTTTTTATCACAATCAGATCAAACTAATAAAAAACATCTTTCAGAAATATTTATTTCACATCTACTAACATGGAAGAGGAGGTGCTTATGATCTATACTGCAGTCAGCCACTAGGGGGCAATCCAGATGATTCGGCTTCACTTATGGGAGCCGTCATGTCGTCCATCTTTATATCGTTGAAACCACAGCGCCCTCTGTAGTATGGAGGTGGAACAGGCTGATGGAAATGCAGCAGCTGGATTTCTGATCAATAAATTCCTGAAATATTAATGTTTGCTTTTTATTTCAAACACACAATCGATCAAATGTCAAACTGACGGTTTCCTTCCTCCTCCAGGAGTTCTCCCGGACATCGAGCATTATTTTCAGATCGATGACGAGAAATCAGGTTTACTCCAAACTGGTGAGAAGAATATTTCATCTGTTAAATGAAAGAATCACTTGAGTCGGAGCAGCCGCGTCCTGCGTTCAGCCTCTGTCGTGTTGTTGTTTTAATAGTTTCAAACACAAACTGACTTTTCATCGTATTTGTTTCCGTCCAGTTTTTATCTGCAGCTACATGTTCCTGGCTCCGATCTTCGGTTACCTTGGTGACAGGTACAACAGAAAAATCATCATGAGCGTTGGAATCGCGTTCTGGTCGTTGGTGACGCTCGCCAGCTCCTACACCCCCAAAGAAGTGAGAGACACTTCCTGTTCTGTCCCTCTGCTCCGCTTGTGAGGCGACGTCCACCGTTGCTATGGTTACGCCTGGTGGTTTTCCAGCCTCTAAATCAGAGACTGAACGCTGCGGGTTGTTTTAGTTGGAAATCTCTGCGGTTGTGTTTTAATCTGGACGAAGAGAAACTGAGACTTTGATAAACATGTGTCTTCCTCATTAGCTGTCGAGTGTAAATCGTTTTGTTTTCTCGCAGCATTTCTGGGCCCTGCTGTTAACACGCGGCCTGGTCGGGGTCGGCGAGGCCAGTTACTCCACCATCGCTCCCACCATCATCGCAGACCTCTACGTCAAGGGGAAGAGGACCAACATGCTGTCCATCTTTTATTTCGCCATCCCTGTCGGCAGGTAAGAGCTGATCCTGGTTCTCCACACTGTCACCGAACCAGAGTCCGAGTCGTTTCCTCTGTGACTTCCTGGATCTGACGGCAGCATCACAGGGTGGGAGTGGACTTCTCCAGCCGGTCGGAGTTTGTCTCCATGGTTTTCACAGCAGATCCTCGTTGCACTCGATGTAACAGACGACAGACTCTTTGTGTTTGAAGCTGTGATGAAGGTTTAAGATGTTTCCTTGTATCTGGACCAGCAGAAGTTCAGAGGAATTATTTCCAGTCACAGTCGTCATCTCCTGACGGTTTCACTTTATTTAGAAAAAGATGTTGTTTGAGACGACTTTAGAAACAAGGCCACGCTTTATTTAGTTTTTCCCTTCAGCTCATATGTCGATGAAAGGACTAATCACAGGGACACGCCCCCTCCTCGTGTCACACGTCTCACCTTCCTGTCGTTTCTCTTGTTGTTCTCAGTGGTCTCGGATACATCGTCGGGTCTCAAGTCAGTAACATAACGAAGGACTGGCACTGGGCTCTGCGGGTACGTTAATATATACACATAGATATATATG